GTGTGTGTGTGTGTGTGTGTGTGTGTGTGTGTGTGTGTGTGAAAATACATACTTATTTCCTAAAAGCCACACTCAGGGTGGGGTGAGAGTTCAGTGATTGGGAGCTCACGTTTGATTGGCATGCATCAGGCCCCAAGCCAGGGTTTAGCCCCACCCCCACATCGCCCTGCCCCCATGGGAGTTCTGCTGCTTCTCGCAGGCTCATGCCTTGGGCGGTGCAGGCATTTCCATAGCAACCAATTGTTCTGTTACAGAGACACAGTGCCGACTCCAGGTGGGTTCTAACAGAAGCGACATGTGAAACCACTAAGGACAGAGACCTAGTTTCCTAGGGAGCCTGTGCCAACATCAAAGATGGATGGAAGGATTAGCAAGTGTTGACGTTTCCATGCGCTATCAGCTGTTGGCGCAAAGCAACCACAGTCTCACAGGCTCAAGAGGACAGCGCCGCCGCCGGCTGGTGAAGGGGCTCAGAATAGTTGACCCATGAGTCAACAGAAGTAAAGGCAAACCCGAGGAGGGCCCCGGGTCCTTAGGACAGAAGAGGAGGTGCGTCGATGGCATCCCTTCAGGCTGGCGTGGCATCCCTAGCTGGAGGAAGCACCCTGTTGATCTTGAGTGCAGAGCTGAGTCTCCCAGGGCTGTTAGTCACCCACAGTCCTGGTCCTTATCTTGTAGATGAAGTGGTTGGATTGTTCCACGCCGAGGTTCTATCTAAGGCAGAGGCCTGTTTAAACGGTGAGACTCTAAAATGTCACACTGAATGACTTTTAAGTTGTGTTTGTATGTGAGGGTGTGTGTGTGTGTGTGTGTGTGTGTGTGTGTGTGTGTGTATGCAATACGTGTTTAAAAAAATGTGTGGTTGGGGGCGGGGTGTCCGCCGTTCCTGCCCCTATCAATGCCAGCTCTCAATGTCTTCCTCTATAGCACTTATTTTTTTTTTTTTTAACAGTTATTTTTGGCCAGTACTCAGGATTGAACCCAGGGCCTCTCACAGCCGCTAGGTAGTCATACTATCACTGAGCTACAGCCCCAGCTCACACACTATGTTTTGAGGCAGAGTCTCTCACTGAACCTGGAACTCACTGATTGGCCAGACCAGCTGGTTAGAAAGCCCCAGAGATCCTCCTGTCTCCAACCTCCCAACTCTGGGGTTACAGGCTCACGCGGCCAGTGCTTGGCTTTGTGTGTGCCGGGGATCTGAACTCAAGTCCTCACATTTGTGCAGCAGGGGCTCTCCTACCTGAGCGGTCTCCCCGGCTCCAAATGTTCTCACAGAGCAGAACACGGTCACTTCTCATCCATCATTTCTACTTTTGATTAATATTGACTGACCACCTAGGCGACAATCTCAGGCCCCAGGAGTGGGTAGAAAGTAATGGTACCTTTGGGGCCCTCACAGCAGGGGTGGGGGGGGTGGCAAGAAGACACACACACACACTCAGATCCACGGGACCCGGGTTGGCGGTCAGGTGGGAACAGAGATACCCAGGGAGTCACTGGAGAGGCCTCTCTGCAGGCCCCAGGTGGGCTGAGAACTTCCGGCAGGAAGTGGCGAGTCTGTAGGAGGGGTGGTGTGGGGCAGAACCAAATGTCTGTGGACCTCAGAGTGGTAAGCAGGATGCCGGGGCAGCCCTCCGACATCTTTATTCCTCCCCAAGGTCCATCATCCTCATGAACAGATCCCACAGAAAGGAAGGGATAGCAGCTTTAAGGGGAAGAGAAGAGGCAGATCAGGAGGGAAGAGGCTAAGATGGGGGGGCGGGGTGCAAGCCAGTTCACCACAGAAGAGACCTGAGGCCATTTCATCACTAAGGCCCCTGGGAAGGGCTGAGAGATGGGCACCTGGGGAGGAGCCCTGAATTCTAAGGGAGCAGATAAAAGTGCTCAAGGCCTGGAATACGTGGGCGGCCTCAGCTTCATCCTCCCCAAAGCTGCCAGGGGGCAGTGGACAATTCTAGGGCAGGGCAATATCAACACCCTTACCCAGGAAGGACTGGGGAGAGGACTGTGTTCTGTGGCCAAAGGTGAGTCTCTCAGTCCAAAGAGATAATCACCCTGAGTCTTCTGTGCCATGATAACAGAATCAGAGGGCTACCCCATGGTCTCTAGTAATCTTTCAGTATGCATTTACCAACAACTCATTGGTATTTTCCATTATGCTAAGAATTCTTGGGCCCCAAAAGGCTTTGTTCATGCCTTCAGGGGTTTTGGAGTATGACGAGGAGTTGCATATGCCCATGGAAGTTTATATGAACTGATCATATACTATTTCAGGGCTAAATCCGGAGTGTAAGCGGAGGGCTATAGGGTTGGGGGGAACATGGGAATTCCCTTGAGGCTGGTCAGGAAGTCTGTGTAAGGCAGGTGGGATCTGAGTGGAGCTCGCAGGGTAGATGAACAAAGGAGATCAAAGCGAAGATGCGTTGGGAGAGACAGACTCGGAGAAGCAGGCATTTAGCAATGGCGAGGGCTAGCTTTCCTCTCAGAGGAAGCCGGGCACCAGCAGGGAAGGGCAGAGCTTTCCTCCACGGGGAGTATACTTCCCTGTCAACATGGACCCAGGCTGGCATCCTCAGTGCGCCACTCACTCAGACAGCCTGGACGAATGCTTTTTCCACTTTTGTGTATTTCCTCAACTACAAAACAGGATTTGATGATAACCACTTATCTGAAAGGCTGTTGGGAGGGTAAACTCTCAAATGACATCGGGTAGAACACCTTCAAGGATAATGGTGCGTTGGGAAATGTCCCATCTGAGACCTAAGGGGATGAATACCCATGTGCCCTTTACAAGTAACTACACAGATTGATCAATGGGGAGAAGAATCCATTCTCTTCTAGCCTGTGGGAGAGTTGACTGTGCACACTGTCTCCGGATGTTTGACTTCCTGAGTCTTCCCTGAACAATGCCACTACTGTCCTGGCACCCCTGGCAAGCAGTCCCATGGCAGCCAGGTTCTTGTCACATGTCGTTTTCCTGGAGTGAGTCACTGGAGAACGGAGCTGTAGTCATAACCTTCAGTGAAGGGAGGTGAAGGTGGCTTGGAATGAACACAGAGTACAACTTGGCTTCGTGTTCCCTTCCATGGACATTTCGCTCCAGGCCTTGACCTTGCAACTCAAGAAAGTAGAGCCATATGATGAGTGGGACAAATTAATGACCAGCTTGTGACCACCACACAAAGGGCCTTTCAACCCCCAAGATCTTATCTCTTCCTTTCCGATCTAGCCCTGGCAAGTTGGAGGGAGACTGGAGCTGTCTCCCTGGGTCCCAAAGGAAAGCCCCCTGGTTCCCTCTGCAGAGGAAGGGGGAGTGACCAGGGAAGGTGAATGCTCAACTTTGTGGACATGCTGGGTGTCTTCCGTCTTCCCATGTTAGAGCATGTCATTTTATCACCACAGACACAGAGCAGAGCTCAGCAGCGTGCACATCTGTGTCTGCGTGACCTTCACATTGTAGCTCCCAGGGAGAGCTGTGACCTGGGAGGGATGAGGTCCACAGCCCGGAGAGCTAGTGTAGCAGAACCACCAAAGGTCGAGTGGTAATTGGGACATACGAGTCCACCTTCCTCTGCGTTTGTGTGACCTTGGGGTGTGACCTCGTGCAATTTTGCATCTCGTAAGACTGGGGTTCCACATCTGAGAAGTGGTTTGTTTAGAAAACTTGATCCAAATACTTCCACGACCCCAGGCTCTAATTTTCTTGGCTACTCAAGCACAGAGCCTTGGGTGTGTGTGTGTGTGTGTGTGTGTGTGTGTGTGTGTGTGTGTGTGTGTGTGTGTAACGCAACTGTAATTGCATAGCTGTGATCCCAGCGTGGGAGACAGAGCTGGGCTACCTGGAGTCTCCTTCCCTTTCTCTTGCTCTCCCCCTCCCCTCCTTCCCTCCCTCCCTCTCCCTTCCTTCCCTTCCCTCCCCTGTTTCTCTCCCCTCCTTGTTTCAAGACAGCGTCTTGTGTAGCCCAAGGCTGGCCTTCCACTCACTCCATATGTAATTGAGGATGCTATTAAGCTGCCGCTGCCACCGCCGATCCTGACTCCATCTCCTCCATGCTGAGATTATGGACACATGCCACTGTGCCTATGTAGTGCTGGAGATTGAACCCAGGGCCACCCTTATGGAAGCCAAGTACTCTGTTAACTGAGCTATATTCCCAGCCTGGTCCTTTCTCAAAAAGTGAAACAAGATTTAAAAAAAAAAAAAAAAAAGCATGGAGAGATGACAGAAATCTTTATCAGTATCAACTCCACACTTCCCAGCTTCCTTGCTCCCCCAAATTCAAGCCCAGAAGGGGCTCCATGATGGCAGGCCTTACGTTTGTATGTTCACATGGAGTCCAAATGCTTGTTCCCACAGCGATATGAACAGCTTCCCCGACTTTTTCAGTTCCAGAATACCCAGCAGTTCATTTCATGAGCCGTTCACATGCATTTCGTGAGCCGTTCACATTCAAGGCCGCATCCCATTGTTCTTTTCTATGGCACCCCAGCTTCCCCCTGCCACTCAGCTCTTCACATGCTCTCTGCGCCCCCTGAGGAGGCTGGCACTAACAGCACTATTACTTGCCTTCTAGTAGGGAACAAAGCAGTGCTTTGCCATCCAGCCCCAAGAAAAACAAAATGCGGCTTCCGGGAGGAGGAAGCCTTGCTGCCGAGCCTGGTGAGATGGGTAGAGTTAGGAGTTTTTGCCAAAGGGAGAGAAGGCGCCAAGCCCAGGGCGGAGGCCCAGGAGCCGAAGACAGCGTAAGTCCCAGGTAAGTAGCGACAAGTCCTTCGGCTGGAGCTTCCGGTGGAGCTGAGCTGTGAACTTCAGGCTGAGGCAGAGTTCCAGTCTCCAGAATTCTATGACCTTGGGACTTGAGGGCATGAACTGGCGTTCTCTATCAGAGGCATACAGTGATGAGATTTGGGTCCTAAGAGAGTAATGTATGCTTGAAGGAACGTGTGGAGTTGGAAGGGTCCAGGGGACAGCCCTGTGGTAAAGCCAGGCTAGTGGCCACTGAGTTCAGAGGAGAGATCAGTCAGTTTGGATGTGAAAGTGCCACTCAAAAAGGCTCATGTGTGTATGCATGCCTGCATGTGTGAACGTGTGTGTGTGTGTGTGTGTGTGTGTGTGTGTGTGTGTGTGTGTGTGTGAAGAGATGTCTTACTTGTTAAAAGCAAGTACTGTTCTTGAGGATGACTAAGGTCGTTTTCTCGGCACCCTGTTAGTCAGCTCACAGACACCTGTAACTCCAGCTCCAGGGCATCCCATGCCATCTTCTGACCTTAGTAGGCACTTGCACATGCACAGGCATACACACAACACACACACACAAAATACACACACACTCACATGCACACTGAGCATGCACAGGCACACACAGGCACAGGCACATGCATGCTCTCTCTCTCACACACACACACAAGGCTCAAGGGTTGGAGGCTTCCTCCCAGCCTGAGGCAATGTTGTGAGGTAATCAGATCTTGAGGGTACAATCATATCAATTAATTAATCCCTTGATGAGTCAAAGCGGAGTAGATCATTGGGAGGCGGAGCCTAGTTGGAGGAAGTGGGTCTCCGGAGGGTGGGTATTTGGGATCTCCACTTTCTCCTCCCTTCTTTCTTTCCCCCATCTTCCTCCCCCTCCCCTTTCCTCTCTTGTTCTCTCCTTCCCTTCTCCTCCCCTCCCTCCTCCCCTCCCTCCTCCCCTCCCTCCTCCCCTCCCTCTTCCCCTCCCTCCCTCTTCCTCTGCTTCTCCGTGCGCTTCTTCCTGGCAGCTATGAAGTGAGCAGTTTTCCTCCTGCGACGCGCCTTGCCGCAGGCCTAACACAGCAGGGCTGGCTGAAACACAGACGGAAACCTCCCACGCCGGCCCACTCTGAATCTTTAGCTGTTTACCGCCAGTGCTTTGCCAGCCACAGAAGGTGACTAGGAGAACTGGAAGGAAGGGAAACTTCGGGAAGACTGATGAGGCAACAGAGTGTGGTCAGCCTGAGGCAGGAAAGGGGCTGTAGTTGGGACCAGCAGCCTCTCTCCACACTGGGCACATGGCATGGCTTGTCTTGCTTTGGCATGGGAGGTGGTGGTACGGAATTTCCTGAGGGAGCCGTGAACAGGCGCAGGGGGACCCACCCTGCCATCTGCTGTATTATTAAAGACAGAACCCTTCAATTTTAGCCAGACACATAAAGCCACGTAACTACATATGGTCCATGACTTGACTTCTAGAAAAGAGCTTTCCCAGGGACTGGAAGGTGGATGACGGCTGGAGCCCAGTGGCTCTCTTGAGCCATGAGGTAAAAGTTCACGCCTAGAATGATGGAGCCGTCAGATGCTGGTTCACAGTGAGGGCCGCTTTACCACACCTGTTCCACACTGCCGAGCACACACTCATGGAAACTTTCCTGGAAGAGAAAGGTGCGTGTCCACAAGACGTCATCTCCCACCACTCTCAGCACTGAAAAGACCCAGTTATTCACCCGAAGATTGATATGTGTGGGTGTAGAGTTTTGGAGGTGGGAGAACCACTGATACTAGGCCATGATGGCCTATAGACACATTTTTCTTCAGTGCACAACTTGCTCGTCCGCTCCTGCTAGAAAAGCTCGTGTCCTCTATGTCCCTTGGCTCCTTCTCCTGGAAGGACACCCCTCTCTGTTCCCTAGGTCCTGGGCAGTCTGCTCCTAACTGACATAATCTCTCTTCCAACCAGGAGCAATAGACTTGAAGACAAAGCCGGGTGTTATACATGCCTACCGTCAGGGTAGGAACATTTCAGGTTCAAGGCCAGCTTGGTCTACATGGTGAGACTCTGTCTCTAAACTAAATGAGGACACTGGTTCTCCGAGTTAGAATTGGATGTGTGCACTGCCCTTTGTGAACTGGACCTCGTCGCTGAGCAGCGGCTTCTAGATAGAAAATCTTTCAAGTGGCCTCTGTGATTGCCACTGTTTAGTTCTTAAAGCTTTCTTAATTCCTAATGTGGCATATCACGTGATCTCTGTCCTAAAGGATGCCTTGTTCCAAGTCCTGACTGGTGGGGTCAGGGAAATGACAATTACGGAAGAAATAGCCAAGTGTGAGGCTAATGTAAACATTTAGAGGTGACACTGGCTTGATTTTTATTTTATTTATCTATTTTTTGAGACAGGGTCTCACTGTGTAGTCCTGGATGCCCCAGAACTCTCTATGTAGACCAGGTTGGCCTTGAACTCACAGTGTTCCATGTGCCTCTGCTTCTCAAGTGCTGGAATTAAAGGCAGGCATGGAATGGGTGTGAGGAGGGGGTTGGCAAGCTCTGTGACAGAGCTGCTGTGGCTCCGTCAATGACGGATAACGTCTAACTGGCGCTAAATGCCTGTGTTGTGCCTGGTGATGTCCTAGCCCTTCAGTGCATCCCTTCGCGGGCCCCACACAGGAAGGGGAGCTGGGCGCTGAACAGAGGAGGCCCTTTACCAGTGGTAGCTAGAGTTGGGGAGAACCATGATTCTGCTTCCTGTGTCCCCCATGCCGCAGCCCTCAAGTTTGTTCTCAGGAACCCTGAAGCAGTCCCTTCCGTTATGGGGATGACTGTCACGGCCCACCCCCATCAGAGCATCCCTCTGTGTCTCCTGTGATGTCAGTCCCACTCCGGGTGGCTGTCTACCAACACCCCTGCAAACAGGGTGTCGTTTTCCTTTTCCGCTGGGGTCAGCTGAGGACCTTGTGCCCCGCAAGCCCTTCTAGGGCTGAGTCTCCCCCACTCCTCAGCCGGTTGGAAGGTTGACAGGACTTCTTGCAGGGTTGACAAATGAGCTGAAGGGGTTTGGGAGTCCGAGAAAGGTCTGACTTGTGTCGTTTGCTAATTTCCATCATGTAAATACTGCTGCCGAGACCCATTTCAAGCTGACGATGCAACCTGTAAAATTCCTGAATACTTAATTATTGACTGCAGCGGTTCAGCGGCGGTACAGCAGGCCCCAGTGGATCTGTGGGCCCAGGAGCTTCCCGGCAGCTAAGAGGGCCTGTCTGGGCCTGAGTGACCGGACCCCAAGGCCTCGACAAGCCTGTGCTCCGGCCCCAGGTTGCCAGCTTTCCAGGACTCTTCCCTGTACCCCTCACGGGTCCCCACCTCAGGAGGCTAGGGGATGGAGCGAGGCAGACTGCAGCGCTCCGTGAAGGATCGCGACCACGCAGACAGCAGGTGGCAGCACTCTCTCGGTCAAAGATCGGCGTCTCCGCCTAATGAGGGCCTTTGTTCTGAGCCAGGCTGTGTCTCCAAGAGAAAGGCCCCACAGGGCAAGCTAATCGGCCTGTCCTTAGATGACCTTCACCTCCTGGAGCCTAGGAGACAGGTCCCAGCGGCCTGACAGAAAGCCGGCCACTGCAGCAAATAGAGGGGACAGCACACACACACACACACACACACACACACACACACACACACACACACACACAC